AATAGATACATTAAGAATAGTTCTCAGCTTTATTAAGGAAACCATGCAAGTATTTATCTAGTCCTCAAGTAGTATCCAAATTTAATTGTTCCCACCAATTCACTGTACAAATCCGGTACTTTTTCAATTCTATCGCATTTCCTTATATCATTTTCTACCCAAAAGAAATCAAATTACAACAATTTTCGTGTAATTATGTAAAAGAAAAAGTTTATATAAAGTTTCAATTTTAAAATGTAGAAATAAACGTGCATGTCAAAAATCCTTCATAAAATGTTGTTTGGATGTTTAAAAACCTTTTGATTGATCATCTCAATATTGAGATGTGTGACTACAAAAAAAAAAAAAGATTTTGAGTCTTAAAATAGTATAACGTCTATTTTTAATATTTTCAAGTGTTTATAGATCTACTTGTTTTGAACTATTTATTAAATTTAAAATTTTGTAATTAGAGATGAAAATGGATTTTCAAACCATCTTACGATTTTTTTGACACCAAAATTATATTTGTAGAAAGATTTTAGAGATGCCCTTGATTTGGTTGTTTAGGGTTACAACCTTATACAAACCACACCGTTGTGTAGATGTGCTTGTGGTCCCCCGGGAGTACGCTACACGCGTCCTTTTTCAAATGCATTCATAAAGTCTTGTTGGCCGTCACGTGTCACCAAAAGAGATCTACTCATTTGGCTAAGCCTTTAATCACAAGTGACACGTGGGAAGCGGCAGGCTCAAGAATCCAACGGCTGAGAATGCATCGAGATGGAAATTCCCGCGTAAAGATCTCACTAGCTGCCTAATGCCTGCCAAATAAATGCGACAAGCCATTAGTTACCGAAAATACTCCCTTCTGCTCCAATAAATTTCGAGAATACTCCCAAATCTTGTCAAATGACGAAACACTCCTCAAAATCCTCCTAACTTTGCGTTAATGCCCGCGACGGCGACGACCTATTCCACAATGCCGCGTTTAGGGCATGTTCGGCATCGTCGAGATCTCATGCGATGAGGTTATTTCGTGATATATATACCATTTAATGAAGGTGGTTTTGTAAACCCCAAAACCTGCTATTGTCCAGCTATAGCAATGAGACTAATTCCTTGGAGGACCACAGTATGGAAAATACTCCTTTGCCGTCCCCTTTGGACCGACCAAGACTTTAATTTTTGGATTCATATATCCATTTCCTTTTTAACGAGCAATTTTGTCCCTTATTTTAGTCATTTTTGCTTATTAAATGAAGGGAAAAGTGTATATAAGGTCTCAACCTTATACTATATAGGTAAGGTGCACCTAAAAAACTCACCAATGGTTGTTCCCGGAAGATTATCAACTCAATAATCTTGACATTGAGATTCATAAACATGAAAAAAAAAAAAGGATTTATAGCCCTATAAATAGGTCATTTTTTAACATATTATATGGATCATTCATTTTTCAAGATTTTTAAGTGTTTATGGATTTTTCGTCACAATTTTTTAAACTTTAAATTTCATAATTGGGGATAACAATAGATTTTTATATTATTGCGAGGCTTTATGGCACGAAACCGCACTTTCAGCATAGAATTGAGGCGCACCTTACTTCAATAACATAAGGTTAACACCTTATACAAAAGCTAAAAAAAAAGTTGTAATAAAAAGAAAAAGTTAAAACCCCCTCGACTCAACTTTTTTAACATCATCCCCCGACAACTTTTTAAAATACTAAAAAAAAACAAATATTGTTTTCTTTTGCACTTTTTTCGGTGGTCAAATAAATTATGACTAGAATACCCCTCTTTCTGCCATATACCCATATTTTCATAGTGCCGGCGAAACACATTTTTTGTGTCGGTCCACATATTTTTTTCACTGGACCAACATGAACTCATTTTTCTGACTGGCACAAAAAAATAAAAGAAAAAATGGTCATCGTAAACATGAGTCAGATGCGATATTTTGGTCCAAAAAAAAAACGTTTTTTTGAATTGGAAATAGTTGCAAAAAAAACCAGTACTAGGGTTTTTTAGTGTCTTAAAAAGTTGTTGGGGGAAGGATGTTAAGAAAGTTGAGTAAAGAGATGTTTTAGTAATGGAAAAAGTTTATACAATCTTAAAATGTAGAAATAAAGATGCACATCAAAAATCTATTGTAAAAGGTTGTTTGAATGTTGAAATCTCCTCTAATTGATCATCTTGACATCAAGATGTTTGAATATAAAAAAAGAAAATATTTTTAGCCTTAGAAATATTATATCTTGCAACACATTATCTAGACCATCCATTTTCAAGATTTTCATATATTTAGAGATCTACTTGATTTTCCCTACTAAAAGTTAGGCATCTAAGCTGGTTATTATAGACCATGATGAATAATAACGTGCGGATTATAAAATGGATGGAAGCAAAAACTCGAAGTGGGAGTCCACTAAATTGGACTTAATTGGGGCTGACAATGGGTCTAAGTTAGATGAGCTAATAGAGATGAAAATTATCAACATCATTTGAGTTTTAACCCAACTATTTAGAGTCGGCTACATGAATCTTGTTATGTCATTTCACTCTTTCCAGAGCCACATCTTCAATCAAACCATAGGTAACATTTATTTTTCACGACTTCCATCCATGTTTTTTGGAGCCTTCCCCTTTCCCTTTGAGTTACGAGAGTGAAAAATATAGTATGCTTGTTAGAGAAAGAAATGAATTTTTAAAAAATGCAACTTTCTTAGAAGAGTCTTTTGAATTATACACCTAGATCGGATGTCCAAAAATTGGATTGTTTGCATTCAATCCTGTGGCATGGCTTTTCTCAGGACCATCAACGGGGTGTTTGCAAATTAAATTTTTTTTTTCTTAAGTTGTTTGCTAGGTCTTACATCCCCAAAAACCAGTCTTGTAGGTGCTCCGATGGTGTTTTACTAGTAGGAGAGAATGTAGTGCTCTCTCTAAAGCATAAAATCTTTTTTGGATCACATTTGTTTTTGATGCATTTCATTTTTGGGGGAGAAATAGGTTCACGCATAATTATTCAATGTTGCAGACGAGTGATTTGAAAACGGGTAGCACAGGATCGTCCGGTCCGACCTGAGAATCGGTCATCCTGTTTCAGTTCTACATATATATAGAAAGATGACCATGTTTAAATGGGAACTAGCTGTTTTATATGGTAAAATAGTGATTCTTTACAGTAAAATGGAGATCCGGACTGTAGTTTCACCTTCCAGACCAGTTTTTGGTAGGTTCACTATTCTTTCATGTGCTTTTTTTGGTGATTCGTAGTTCTTTTTGCACAATAAAACAACGATCCGGACCATTAATTCACTTATCCATACCAATTTTTGAAGTGCCCGATCCAATTTACCACTTTGGGTTTTAAATCACTAGTGAGGACATTTAAAGGAGAGAAAACATAGACACTGATAATCATTTTGGACATCAATTTTAAATTTAAAGGTTTGTGGCAGTCATCTAGACCTCCATGGTAATAAAATTGAAAACTTAATGTCTTAAAGATTATCATATTATGTTCCCTTTCGAAACTCAAGCAAAAATAGATTTACATGGATTTAAGCTTAAACAAGGAAAAGTTTATATAGAGCCGAGGTTCTAAATAGTCAAATTAGAGCACACCTCGAAATTTTCATTAGAAGAGGTTGTGTTGATGCTCAAATATTCTCAAATTGATCATCTTGACATCAAGATGCATGGACAAGAAAAAAAAATGAATTTCAAGATTTGAAAATAGCACATATTGTGTTGCATTTTTGGACAGTCAATTTTTAAGAATTTCATGTTTTTATAGATCTACCTGATCCACATTATTTTTTAAGCTTGAAATTTTATGATTAGATATGAAAATGTATTTTAGATTTGCAGTATTGAAACTCACAAAGATCTAAGATATATTTTGGGTCCAAAATCTCTAACTGAAGTAGATATGTGTGCCTACTGACTCACCAAATGCTTTTCCTTAATTAACTATATTTTTTTGGGCAAATTAGTCAATTAGATCCCCCAAAAAGCACTGCACATTCAATTGGTTTATTACACAAGGACCAACCTGGGTATTAGATGAAAAAAAGGAGGCATTCATTGCCATCCTATTTTACGGCTACAGTGGGTCACAGAAATTTTCGATGACCAAACTACCCCACAACCAATATTTTGGCGTTTATACTCATCCCATCAATGGGAAATCATCGTAGGGGCATTTTAGTAACTTTCCTCCTTTCAAAAAAATTCCTTCCCCTCTTCTTCAATTTAATTTGACAGGTGAATTCCCACCTACAAAAGCCTGAGAAATCATAAAAAACCGCCAAATTTGGTTCAGATCAGAGCCCCTAAATTTATTGCAAACTTTCTCTGTTTCTTTCATTCAAACAAGGCGTCTTCTTCTTCTCATTTCACCTGCACGTAATTGGTTTTTCCCATTGAGAAGAAGCTCTGCTCTTTCAGCTAACCGCTTGAATTGAGAGGAAATGGAGGTTTACACTGTTAAGGTTGGGGAAGCCGAGCCAGCGCAAGGTGAGAGGCCGTCGGCTGGACCTGTTTATCGATGCATTTATGCAAAGGATGGGTTAATGGAGGTGCCGGAAGGGTTTGAATCGCCTTGGGACTTGTTCAGGTCTAGATCAATCTTGATTTCTCCATTTCTTGATTTCTGTTTAATTTAAGATGAATGTTCTGAATTATGATGTCCTTTAGGTTCTTGTAAAGATATTTGATATTTGAAGGCTTCATGAAAATGTGTATATATTTGTATTTCTTTTTTACATGGGTCATGGTGCTTGTTTTTCCAAATATTTGAAGTTTTGAACAAATTTTTATTTGAAATGCTTTGAGATATTATCTTTAGGTTTGCAAATGACATTTAGCATTTCAAAAGATTGGAATGGGTAGCATTTTGTTTTAAGGCATTTGCTGCTAATTATATGGAAATTTACATTTTCCTCTTCTAATTACTAATGTTGTAGTTTTGGGGGCTAATTGCAGGTGAAGTTTCAGAGATCATGGAATTTGAAACAGTGATTCTTATGAATTTTCTCTGTGATTGTGGATTATAAATCTTAAATGAAAGATGAAATAAATATTATGCTCCATGCCATCATTTTCTATCTTCTTTTGCCTTTTCTCGTAGATTCTTATTTGTTACATGTAAACAAAATCAGTTTTGATTATCATGGAAAGCTCATACAGTCTAAAGTTCAGGCCTGATGGAAATTTTTTGAACCACATTGTTGAATGCATGAAAGGATCTTTGTCTAGGAAAGAGAGAGAGAGAGAGAGAGAGAGAGAGAGAGAGAGAGAGATTCCTTTTATATTAATCAATGGATGGGATTTGATTTTTTGACAATTGGAGTGGTTTCTTTATTATTGAGATTCATCCTTGAGGGTGAGCTTTCCATGCATCCCCACACATACATTCCATGCATTTTTTAGGCACATCCAGTTGTTTGATACTAATAAGAGCTATCAAGATTGTTCATATATTGATAAATTATAACTTAATAAATACAACCTGTTAGATTATTTTTGGTCCACACTTCCAGCCGTCAGATCAAAAATCAAAACCATCTTATCAAAATCGGATGGCTAGAGATCGTCAAGTGGGTGGACACATGTATGAAGGGTTCCTTTATTTTGATTTGCTCTCTTAGGTAATTATTTTATTGTGGTGATCGAGATGCTGCCTTATTTCCAAATGGTCATAAATGAGTTATAGAATAAGAAGCAATAAAGAAAGAAGAAAACATGGAGAAAAGAGACATTAATGTATGGCTATAACTGTTGGCATTATGAAAGAGTTTTGAGCTAGTTGGCTTCGCCACTTATCCAGGACAGGGACAAGACACTAAATGTTGTATATCATGTTCTCAACTACCACGGTTGCAATGGACATTTATTATGACCAAAAGTTATTCTACTCCTCCCGAGTACACTGTCCATTCACTCCCTTAGGTAAAACCCAATCTAGTGTTGGTTTAAGGATCCCAAATTTTGGGGATATTACCTCTTTAACACATATATTAACCTCAATACAAAATCTTTCGTAATTGCATATTTTAAGCACTTGAAAAAAATAATGTCTCAAGATTGAATAGAAACTGTAAGGTGAAATCTAAGTATTAAAAAACTCAAATTTCGAATTTTTTTTTAAAATAATCATCTGATGATTCTAAGGGGGTCACCAAAATTTTAGATTGAAAAAATCCCTCCCAACTAGGTCATCTAAGTGAGAGAGTAGAAGCAAACTGTGCTCCAAGAGGGAGCATGGTATACGTGCTCCTTAATACGATATTATCAAATACCACTATTCTAATGGTTCTTGTTGATTTCTTTTGGCTTTTTTAGAAATGATTTTATGAGATTGGAGTACGTGGGTTTCTATAAACTATAGGTTAAAAAGATAAGGATACATGTATTGGTATGGCATATTTTTTTTGGGAAAGTTTAGTGGTAGGAATTGAACTTGAGATGTAGAACGGCTAAACATAAGCAGCTAACCACTCAAGTTCAAGCCCAGTTTTTGGTGTGACACAATATTAATGTCAAGAGTACTAATTTTAGAATCACCCTTAGCAACACAATACGTCTCTAAATTGCTTAAAGAAACGAGAAGGCGAACAATTTTTTTTTTTTGGGTAATTCAATGGGAAAGATCGGCATCTACCTGTTTTTTCAAGTAGATTAGGAGTTAGCTTTTTTGACGGTATCAGTGAAGAGAAGGTAAATTTTTAAAATAGCACTTTGAACAATTGGATTTCAAGGAAAAATGTTATGAAAAAGTTTTTTATGTTTCTAAATGCAAGTTACATGCGTCGCATTTTTTGTCAATTGATAAAGGTAGACATCCTTAAACATGTGTGCACCCCGTTATATAGTTTCTTTGTTGATTAATTTTGATTGTTGGAAGTGGATTTAATGAACCAAGGGTGTGAGTGGGTCTCCAAAAGCTAGCCCATTTAGACCCTTCCATATACGATACATGGTAAAGTCTTGATTTAAGGGCACGTTTGGTTGGTGCATAAATATTTTTCAATAAAAAATATTTCTATATGTAAACTTTTTGTAAGAAAAGCTTTTATTACAAACTTGCTTTTCACGATGTTTGTTAACATGTTTAAAAAATAATGTGTAATGAGTTACATATGTTTAGTATTTAAATATATTTTATAAATTATTAAATCTATGCATGCAATATTTAAATATTATAACTAAATATATATAGTTATATTTATTTAAATATTAAATGTTAAATATTAAATATTATTTTAAAATTAAATATAAAATGCTATATAATATATATATTTTATTGTAAATATCTATTACTTAAATAAAATAATTATATAATAAAATATACAATATATAATGTAATATATAAATTAATATACGATATAGTGTTATATAATATATTATAATATAAAATAATATATTATTCATATAAAATATTATTTATATGTTATATGTTAAAAATAAAATATTATATAATATATATTGTATTGTAAATAGTGAATCGTAAATAAAAAAAGTGAATCCACGTGTGAAAATAGAAATGTGGGGAATATTTCCTCACCTCAAGAGGTGAGGTTTTGTTTTATTATGAATTTTAGACCATTTTCATGGTAAAAGTTTTTACAATGAGATGTATTTGCATATGCATTATACATCAAACAAATGTATAAAATGCAATTTTCAAGTGAAAATATTTTTTTATAAACTATTTATGCACAAACCAAATGTGCCCTGGGTAGCAATTGGGTTGAGTTGGCAATCTAGGTCTGGATTTGGGCTAGATTAGTCAACCCGGCGGATCAAGTCAAGATTTGGGTCCATCTTAGTCCATATCGGATCCAGTTGGGTCTTACGTCATGTCCGTCACTCACTCTCTCTCTCTCTCTCTCAAAATCCAAACTGACTTTGGCTTAATTAGTATTTGTCAATGTTTTGAACCGTGAATTAGTGGAGTGGACCCATAGATCCGTACCAGATTGCTCCATTAGTGATTTAGACAGGTTTGAATTGGTTTGAATTAGTGATTAAAAAAATAAAAATAAAAATAAAAAAAATAAAAGGGTCTAATAAAACATACATAAGTATTAAATTCGATGACTTGGAGTGAGTCACGAAATTCAAAATTTTTTTTTGGAGCTTTTTGCCTAATCAATGATACTCTTACAACTTTCTATTTTGAAATTCAAGGGACAAAATGATTGTGCCTTCTTTGTACAATAGATAAATAGTCTTTTTTTTCAAATCCCATTTTTAAAAAGGATCCGGTTTCTATGCGGCCAAGCTCGCATATGTAGAAATATGGGTCTTTTAGCAAACTATTTTTGAGATGGATTTTAAGACCTAATTTTTAAAGGCATCATGAATATAAAAAAAATAAATTAAAATTGAAAATAATAATTTTAATAAGAAACCATTTAGACCATTAATTTTTATTGTTTTTAGATCGAATACTATTTGCATCCATATTTAAAACGAATGCTTTACATTTTTTGGAACGCATATGTAGAAATACGGTCCAACCCGCATGAAACAATTTTCCTTTTTAAAAAACCCTTCTAAATTTGGCACACAAATAAAATAAGAAAAATCAATTTTTTAATGACACCCCTTTTTCTTAAGGATTTACGACTATCATGCATCTACCATAGAAATAGTGTAATAATTTCATCATATTTTCTTACCATATTTAACAATGGATGGTGGAGACTTGAACAACTCATTTTGACCATCGGTTGTTACTTATTTGAGTAATGGGTTACCAGTACTTATGATATTGCATATGACTATTACATTTGGTACAAGAAAGTCACAATCCGTTTTAATTATCAATAATTTTTTTGTCTCACAAAATTTGAGAGTTTTTTTTTTGGATTTTGAAGTTAGTTAATAGCGCATTTCCTGTTGCCCAATTTCTCCTCTAACTATTAATAATGATTGTGACTTTTTGCATATCATATACAAATAATCATGAGTTATTTGCAATAGAATTGACATGTACAAGATGATACATGTATCCCATAACAGACTAACAAGGCGGTATTGATAACCCATATGACCACAAATTTGTGTGGCCATGTGTTTCTTCCACCATCCAATCTATGGATGGACGGTTAGAGATAAGATCTGCAATTTGGACCGTCCTTTTCAAGTCGACTATCCATGACTGTCCATTAAGCAATGGGACGGCGATTAATGCTTATGACCATTCATTTTCCATGGTCTTCATGACCAGGAATTTTTACTTTCCCCTCTCCATTTTCCCGCTTTCTCGACTGCTGAATCCCCGAAATTTCATGAAGGTTTTCTACTCGATATACTGGTTCAGAGCTCTCACCATACCACAAATAAGAAAAAGGGGAAGCTTGAGAATAGAGAAAAGGGGCCGATATTGCTTTGAATTCCTTTTAGATTCTAACGGAATCACGAATTCGAGAGAATTATCTGTTTATTGGAAGTTGATTTCTCTGGTTTTTTTGGAAAAAATAGTAGTAAACTGTGCTGGGTTATTTTTATGCTGAGCATTAGAAGCATTTTATATTTTTCTTTTTTGAATTTGTGAATGGACAAAGAAAAATCGTTTTCTGTAGGCCTCTAATTTTATTGGCATAAAATTTACCAAGTTCATTTGAATGCTAGAAATGAATTGATCTTTATTTATTTGGAATCGTTTTGATTTTTCAGAAAATCAGTGAAACGGAATCCTCAAAATCGCATGCTTGGTCACCGCGAAATTATCGTGGAGAAGGTATAATATGAAACACTATGAGTTCCAATGTCATGTTACGACTAATTCGCCATTATCTCTTCTAAGTCTACTACGTTTCACTTTGTAGTTTTTGTTTTTCTGGTTTCCTTGATGTGCGAGGTGCTTATTCTAATTGAAGAAAGGAAAATATATAGGTGGGTGGATACGTTTGGCAAACATATGAGGATGTGTACAATAAATCAATCCTACTTGGTTCTGCTATCAGGGCATGCGGCGCAGTTCCGGTATGTAATCGTCTTATATCCATTAAATAGTTTTTTGGAAATTATAGACATGGAGACACTAGTGTTTAACTACTTAGCTGAGTCCACTCAGACACTAGAGCTGGACTCAGCTGAGTTATTCCGACTAGGCTACTTGCCGAGAGAGTACCCGGGTACAACATGGCGTATTAAAAAAAAAAGTTATGCAAATTTGTGGGATCAATGTACAAAAATTATATATGTAATTTGGATTTTTTTATAATGATTTGTGTGTTTTTCTTGTCATACACCCTATTTTTATATTTTTCCTCTTTTTGGATTTTTCTGAAATGTTCTGAACTGTAAATCAATTTTTACTAAATCCTTGTCTTTTAATTTTTTTTCAACTTATTTAGAAATTTTATATTGTTTTTGGTTTTGTTTCACTTTTAAAATCTTTATTTATTTTTTAGCAAATTTTTTCTTCTTTTTTTTTTTAAATTTTTTAGGCCCTGTGCATTACTTTGCCAAGTCTTAGTGGACTTTGCTAAGTTACTCGGGTCAGCCTAGGGCCCAGTACGAGGCCTGAGCGAAGTTTAGAAACTTTGATAGATTACCTGCGAGGATTTCTGTAAAAGATTTCCGTATAATATTTCACATAATTCTAAGTTTTCTCTCTAGTGTGTTTGTCTTTATATGTTTCTAATAAATCATGGCATTGCACTACTATTTTCCTTTCTTTTCTTTTCTTTTTTTTTGACTTTTTCCTTTGTCTGAGGATTGACACAGAGGCCCTCAAAAAAAAATTATTTCCATTTCCTATGAGAAAAATTTAAAATTTTCTTCACTAGTCACCTCTTCCAAAATTGTTGCAAACTCATTTAGGGAGCTCTACCTGTTTCAAACAATGCTTTATGCTTACTTTCGGAAAGAGCCAGTAAGGCCTTCCTGCAAAGTTTAGGTGCATCGTGTTGGCAGTTTGCTACGCCTGTTTGCATTAGTGCATACATGCAAAGAGGCTCTTATGTCACTATAATTTTTGAAACTAACACTGCAGAACTTTATGTGTTCCCAGGGAAGTTGTGGCATCTATGGTGCAAATTGTCCAGAATGGATTATCACAATGGAAGTATGTTTTGCTACTAAGGGTGTGTCCTTAAATTTGTATGTAGCTACGTATATAGTTTACATTGCATATGAGCTCATGCACTTAGTGCCCATCTATACAAATATGAGATGAACACGGCGTGGTATTGCACATAACTCTAGAAATGGTTTTAGAAGTGACATTTAGAATTAGAAATATTCATCCAATATTGCAAAATTAAATGGGCATTTAGAAGCAAACCTCCAATTAATAGGGAAACAGAATTTTAAGTTGGAACCATGCTTGCATACTTGCTGCCCAAGCATTTTTTATAGGTGCATTGTGTTTTTATGTAACTATGGTCCTCTGTGAATTTATGATGTATTTGTTATTTCCATTTTAATTTCTTTAATCAAATGCAATAAATGCCAGATATATGATTTTGATTTGTATCTCATTGTGGCACATCTTTCCATTTCTTTGCAGGCTTGCAACAGTCGGGGTTTCTGTTATGTTCCTTTATATGATCCTTTTCTAGAAGTGGCGTTTAGAATTAGAAATATTCATCCAATATTGCAAAATTAAATGGGCATTTAGAAGCAAACCTCCAGTTAATAGAGAAACGGATTTTTAAGTTAGAACCATGCTGCATACATGCTACCCAAGCATTTTTTATAGGTGCATTGTGTTTTTATGTAACTATGGTCCTCTGTTAATTTATGGTGTATTTGTTATTTACATTTTTATTTCTTTAATCAAATGCAATATATGCCAGATATATGATTTTGATTCGTATCTCATTGTGGCACATCTTTACATTTTTTTGCAGGCTTGCAACAGCCAGGGTTTCTGTTATGTTCCTTTATATGATACCCTTGGTAGGCATTGATTTTGACAGTGTAGTCTATTATTCTTTGTGGTTATTTCATGTTTCAATGAGCTCTGTAGGAAAATCAGTATAATCATGTGGAAGTAGTACTTAAGTTTGCTGATAAAGATAATGGTTGGGATAATTTTCTCCACTTCTATTTAAGATCATAAACATAATGTTTAAATCACGTCCTTTCACTATGCTGACTTTGTTTTAGACTCTGTTGGTGTAAAATAGTGATGCTGCCTCAGTGTTTTATTTTTCTCCTCTTCCCAGCGATAAATATGAGTACCTTCTGGGCTTCATTGTTGTCTAGCTCCATACCGTATGGTTGTTAAGATGATAGATGCTGGAATATGTTGTAGTTTGTATGCATGCCCGCTCTCTCTCTCTCATATTTTTGATGTATGAATTTATCACATAAGTTTCATGTACATAAGTTTCGTCGTACATATTCTTTTATTTGATACCATAAGAATAATTGATAAACTGGCATGCTCAGGAAACTTGAAAATTATTAATCACTTGGGGTCATTCAGCACCAGACAAGGCTAATTTGACTTAATGATAAAATTTGGATGCGGTGGACACACTTGAATATACCTTGCCAAAGAAACCTAACTTGATGATTTGTTGTACCCAGATATGACTAATAGACTTACTCAAACGTGTCATTTACTTGTACATGCTTAGTTATCAATTCAACATTCTTCATGATTGTTGTTATGGGCCTTATGGGTAGACTAGAATATATAACATGGTTTGATTTATGGTTGCAAGTTTATATCGATTGTTAACTTAGCTTTTCACTGGTACCTGTGATCTAAACTATTATATTGTTGCAGGTGCCCATGCAATCGAGTTTATTATCAACCATGCTGAAGTGTCAATAGCTTTTGTGCAACAGAACAAGATTCAATCTGTATGTTGATCATCCCTTCTACTATTGGCATGTCTAGTACTACATCCACAATTATACATATCCTTAACTCACAAATGTTCTCTAAGCTTTTGAATCTTGAAGGTTGATCTTGTAGGGCAACTTATGATCCTCAAATACAGCTAGGTTATGTCCACCGTATCTGTCTCTTTTACTCTTGTTTTTTTTGGGTAGTTAGGTCTCTTGCACTTCACATACACTTTTAAAGTATAGCAGACAACTGCTACATCCATTTGCATACATGTGCATACAGGGCTCACATGCTGAAAAGGTTTACTGCATGCTGAAAAAGGTTTGCTCATTGGCACTCAATGAGTTGGAAATTTTTTCTACTTATTCTTTACTCCATTCAAACAGAAAGTTAGCTTCTGTTTCTACAAGATTTAAGATGCATGGTTTCCTTTTGTGCCAGGAAGCTCAAATCCTCTGGTCAGGTCTTTTGAAGCAAGGCCAATTCCTGTCATTATGCACACCATTGACTCTCAAAACATAAATTAATATGAATCCTTCAAAAACATTAGTCAGTCAGAATGTAAACCAACTTTCTGTCACAATGAACGGATTATTCCGCAATTTCTCCTCGACTAAGTATGCAATCTCCTTTTCCGTTGACTACCAGTAGGTACCTCATGTATTTGTGTATGCCCCAAAGTAAACGAGATGCAAGAAGAGCTCTTTGATACCCAGATCTCCCTTAGGCACAACTACGATGACTCTATGATGCCATCGATGAACCTCACCCCATAATCCTTGTCTGGTTATGTTTCCCCTTTTTGATCAAATGCCGTCTTGAAAGATTTATCTGTAGGCTGCAAAGCAAAAGCCCAAGTAAATGGTGCTCTCCTAAAAATAACAGTTCTACAATCTCTTAAATATATATAAATCGTAACTCTACTTCATCTCGCTACTTGGCTGCTGCCCTTCCTAGTAGGAGACTGGAATTTCGCTTGAATCATACATAGAACAGGAGATACATGATTCCCTTACCTCGATCCCCTAGAGTGTCGGCAATGAACGTTGCATGGTCTAGTAACCATAATACAGAAACTAATCATTGTGATAGGGTCACTAATCCTCAGATCTATTAACTTTGAAATGACATGATTGCTCACAAAACAGGACTTGGCATATTTTTTACACCTCAGGGGATTTCTATTAGTTTAGGTTTTCAATGAGCTGATATCTTTTATTTTTACTTATTCTGGTAATACTATTACATAACCATTGAGTAATTTTAATTTAAAACTCAAATTATTGTTCATATTTTATTTTTGGGTTTTAGTAAATGGTTCAAAATTCAAAATTTCTGCTCATTTGTATTTGTTTTCATCTTCTTGGATCTTTCTCATTGGTGTTTTGACATCTTCCCATCAATGTTTTATGCAGATGTTATCATGCCTATCAAATTGCACAAAATATCTACGGAGTACGTTGAGAGACTATCAATTTTTTGTTTCAGTGGATATGAGGTTGATCTGTGAGACTAGTATCATATGATTTTTTCATTCTTCTTCAGCACTAGTCAGCTTCGGGAAGGTTACAGGCCAAGAAAAAATGGAAGCTGAACAAGTTGGGGTCTCATGTTACTCATGGGATGAGTTTATTTCCATGGTGAGGTCTTTGTCAGCTTTCTTTCTCTTGATTCATTGGGATATTAAATGTTTGATGATGATTCTTATTTACTGTCATATCATTTTGTCATGTCCAGTGTGTTGGCTTCTACGTAGTTACTAAATGTTTATCTATATCAACAATGCACTTGTTACATTATGACTTCAGTGATGATGATATTATTCTTAAAAATAAAGAAAAAACGAGTTTAATTTGCCATTGTTCAAGTTTGTTTTTCACTGTGTACATGATAAATGCCGAATTCCCCCTTATGTTCAAGGTCAAATGACTCATATCTTTTGTATACATGCAAGGCCTAGCAGAGCAGAAGTATCATAAAGGACATTAATATATGCAACCTTTGCTATATTTGATTTCATCTATCATTTTATGTGTTATGCAGAATATTATTTTGAGGAGATTTTTTTTCTTTTCTGCTTTTTGTTTTTTTTTGGGTTTTTGAGAGGAAGTATACCAACTTGTATTTTTAGGTGTGGCAATGCATCTTATGGCCTTTTGTATCATGAAGTTGCCTGCCACCTTGATGTTGTAGTGAAACATCATACTCGAAACTAAGCAAACTTACCTGCTGCAAATAGAGTTTAATTGCTTTTCTTTTCATACATATTTGAAAGTCTGTTATTTTACTCTGATTATACATTGAGCAGATCAGATGGATGAATCTATCTTCATTACTGAAATGAACTTCTTTTTTTTTTTTTGCTTCTGAAGTAAAATAAAGGAAACCTGATGTAAGAGAGACTTGGATTGAGTTATATGTCTCAACTGAGTTGCTCAATGACCCATTTGATGGGATAGCATGTATATGACTTGCATGTCTGTGCCGTTAGTTAGACAATAATCCAGAAAGCATATAATTTAATTTGATTTAATTTGAAACTTTGATTGCATCATACTTGCTTTCCATTGAGAAACCATACTTTTCATTGGATCAATCAACTCCACCAATTGATCGAATTTCACCAGCATGCCGTATAATTCCTATTCAAGATATCTAGTATTGTTTACACTTTCCTTTGGCTTTGTGACAATAACGCCCTTAGAAATTGAGGTGTATATATATATATATAGGAAAATGAACAGTGATTTTGCCTATGCTCATCACTGTCCAAAGTTCATAGCATGGTCAAGGTTGTCCGGTAGTGTTTTATTTTTCATTTTTTTTACAAATTGGAATGATCTGAAATTTGGAGCATATGTACATCTTAGTGAGGCGCATATGAAAAAAATAATTCGCAAAATATAAATTGACCAAAATACCCCCATAAATTTATAGGGGTGGTTTGATCAATTTATATTTTACAAATTATTTTTTGTACATTTTTATTAGATTCGCCTATTTTTGGTGAATAGACACTCCAAATTTCAGATTATTCTAATCTATAAAAAAAAACTGAAAATTAAAAAACTACCGGACAACTGTGACCGTACGATGAAGTTTGGATGGTGATGAGGGTAGACGAAATTACTGTTCATTTTCACCTATAGGCATTTTGTAGTATCATCCATATATATATATATATATATATATCTTACTAACTAGGATAGCGACGAGCATCTTAAATAAGATTTTCACTGAGTTAATAAGTGTACTCATTGCAGAATGCAAGGTAATGATCATAATTGCAATAATGGTCTGGATTTTCAAAATAGAAGTTTTTCAAGTTTGCATTTAAATCTTTCAATGTAGTGCTATTGAGATTCAAGTTTGCATTTGAATTTTTCAATGTAATACTATTGAGAATGGAAACTGCTCAGAAATGTTGGAAACTCCTTTTTTTTTTATCTTTTTTATATTTTGTGACTTTTACCAAAATCAATGTGTTTATGGATCACCTGAGTAGGAGGAACCTGGCATCCTTCATGTGATCGGAGTGGTTATAATGCATTAGCTGGATGCTATTGCCCTTGTGGATGTGTTTTTTCATTGCTTACTATTTGAGCACTTAATGACACAGATTTTGAAAAATGGCTTCTCAACTCGCCTTTGATCTTGTATTACCTTTTATTTTATCAAATGATTTTCAATTCACCTTTGATGTTGTATTAGCTTTTATTTTATCAACTGATCATAACTAGTTATTTTTTCTTTTGAAGTTTTGTGCAAGCTATCATCTAACTACATTTTGTGCTATAGGGGAGTGAAACTTATGAATTTCCTCAAAAGGGGAAAAGTGATATCTGCACGATAATGTACACAAGTGGAACAACTGGAGATCCAAAAGGTGTTCTCTTATCAAATGAGGCCATCATGGCAGCAATTTTTACCATTGAACATCTTCTTTTGGAAACTGATAAAGTTGTAAGTTCTTCAATCTGGACCATGATTGTTATGTATGATTTGATATCTTTTAAGCATCTTTATGTCAATTTTGGTGCCTAGTTGCAAGCATTTGAGAGAATTTTGGTTGATAACATGGATCATAACTCCTATTTGTTCTTTGCTGTATTTTCTTATTGTGAATGATTCCTCGATATTTATCACTTTAACCATTCATTCTCAGTCTAATTTATCCCAGATTGAGTATTATTGCTCTTATATATTTACCTGTGATTGTTTATCATATGGCAGTTAGCTCTTACTAGCTATTGCCGCTTTCTTATATTTGTAACGCATTTCATCATTGGAATGCTGTGCTAGTGCTGGCAAAACGGTTTTGAATATGCAATGGAAAACTTATGGTAGCTTGATCTTGTTAACTTTTGTAATAAGCTGACAATCTTGTTTGGATATCATTCAGAGACAACTACACGCATTATAGAGTAAATTGTCAGGAGCTGTGGTAACATGAAACAATAAGTTGCTCATAGTTGACAAGGAAACAATAAGCCATCCATGAGTTTGAATTTGTCAAATCCTCGAAACAGGGATTCCTATGACTTCTGCAACTTCGTTCATTGTCTTTATTTTCTGTTACTATGCATGTTCGCAATATTTTGGTCGAGATAGTTCCAGAATCTTCAAGAAAATAGGAAATCCCTTTCTTACTATTTTTGTGTGAAGGTTCGTAAGCTTACTACTGAAAACATACTCCTAACTTTGACAGAAGGTAAAATCTGTCACTTTTAGGGATGCATTGATCAATAAAAACTGCCCTTGATTTATACTTGCACATTTGGCCAGACATGAAACAAATGAACTTCCTTTATTCTCGTTTAATTTTAGCATTTACTTTTCTCTAAATGGACTGGAAAGGAAAATTGACCTACTTCTTTCTTGCAGGTAACCGAACTGGATACCTATTTTTCTTTTCTCCCTCTAGCCCACATATTTGATCAGATAATTGAGACCTACTTCATATTCAAGGGTGGATCAATCGGATTTTGGCGAGGGGTACTCACAAATTTGTCTATACTTGGAAATTGTACATGATTTTGTTGGTTTCCAATTGTTTATCCTTCATTAAAGTAAGCTTATATTCAATTCTATTGCTTGACGAACTAGGACATTCGGTATTTAATGGAAGATATTCAAGAGTTACAGCCAACAATATTTTGTGGGGTTCCCCGGGTTTTTGACCGCATATATACAGGTTTGTTCCAGTGTTCATGGATTTTATTGGTTCAGTGAATGGTATGCATAACTCTCTTTTGAACTGTCTCATTTGTTTATATCTAAACTCTGCTTGTTTTACAATGAAGGCATAACTACAAAGATTTCGATGGGAGGGCCTTTAAGAAAGAAGTTGTTTGAATATGCTTATGAATAGTAAGTCTCATGGTACAACGCCGTCAATAGCATACAGATAAACAAAGTTCATTATCTGATCTATAAGAATGTGCTACAATTCAAAATTTTAAATGACATTTATTAATGTAGCAGTGTGATTTGACAGCAAGCTGAACAATATGAAGAAGGGTTTGAAACAAGACAAAGCTGCTCCTTTCTTTGATAAACTTGTTTTCAATAAAGTGAGCATATTAAAATCATGCAGAAGTTTATGTGGTTTATGGAATGCCTCTGAAAAAGTTTTTAATGGATGGTTTTCTGTCTTTAATGAGTAGATTAGACAAGGACTTGGGGGACGAGTGCGCATGATGCTATCCGGAGCGGCACCACTGCCTAAGCACATTGAGGAGTTTCTAAGAGTTTCTAGTTGTAGCGTACTATTACAAGGATATGGTAGGCAATATGCATCAGTATCTCATTGAATTTTAATTCCAAGTGCTTAGCACTTCCCCTTATCAATCTAGAAGAACCTGAATATCAGTTTTTTAACCTTTTTTGAAATCTAATGGAGAAACCATAACTACAATAACTAGATTCACAAAAAAATGGCCCTGAAGAGTTATTTGACTAGTCATGATATGATCTTTGTCTGTGTGAACGCATAATAGTCAAGATTTTGAAAGATATAGTTGTCTATATGATATTTACTGTACAGTACTAATTGTTTCAGGACATATTACCTCCATAATAACTTTATATCTGTCTCTCTGTTTCCTTAAAGTCGTCAAACTCTGAAAGGACATTCAACAAAACAGGTTAATGTGAAAATAAGGGGTCACAAATTGCAGGAATGAGTAAAAATTCCAACTTATTTATCTAGCTACAGTTCTTTCTTTTGCACTCCTGAAAATTTTCATATGTCAATGATATAATAAGAACCTTATTAAGTTTGGATTTTGCAAAAATCGAAAAATATTGCAGGATTTCATCATATGTTACTTCACCATAACAACTAACTACTTTATAGATGTGAATGCTTATATTTCTTCTTTGTTTGGTTTGCAGGTCTGACTGAAAGTTGTGCCGGGTGTCTTACATCCGTAGCCAATGAGTTTTCTATGTCGGGAACTGTTGGGATTCCTGTTACAACCATTGAGGCAAGGCTTGAAGCTGTTCCTGACATGGGTTACGATGCACTTTCTGATACACCACGTGGTGAGATTTGCTTGAGGGGGAAAACCTTGTTTTCAGGTTACCATAAGCGACCTGACCTAACTGATGAGGTTCTCAAAGACGGTTGGTTCCATACAGGTAAATTTGCATAATGATCTGATCGAACATTTACCTAGTAATTGTAATTAAGATTTACACATTCATTGAAAGTTCTCTACTTGTATATCGCCATATGTGATGGCCATAATGACGTGTACTTGTGTTAATGCTTGGATCTTGTTCATGCATGCTTGTGTTTTGTGTCTCTCATTGAGTGTGTGTGAATCTTTTATGTTCCGTGTATTCTATGTACTAATATTCTAGTGATGATGAAGGTGACATTGGTGAGTGGCTGCCCAGTGGTGCAATGAAGATTATTGACAGGAAAAAGAATATTTTTAAATTGTCCCAAGGAGAATATATTGCAGTGGAGAACCTTGAAAGTGTCTACAGCCGCTCTTCTCTTGTCGCATCGGTAATTTCCAACTGTTGTACATACATGAACAATGTCATATGTTTTAGAAATGTGTTTTACTTTTATGTCATCGGACCTACATTTTTTTATGCTGTTTAGACTAGGTTTAGAGAGCCTTGTAGCTGTTAATTAGCTTTATGTCATTGACAACAGTAAATTGAAAAGGAAGTGAAAGGCAACCTTCTCAAACATGTTCTACAGTTCCAACTTTAGACAATGTACGTCTCAGACAACTGATTAGAGTGAAAAAAGATAATTAGAGTGAAAATCTGGAGATATCAGAAGCATTATATAAAATGATGCGACATTATACACTTAGCTGGGAATATTTCTTAGAACACACGTACATAGCTAGGGCTCCTTTTGGACAGACCCAATTTTGGTATGGGGCCTTTTTTCACTCATTTAGAAGCGAAAAACAGCCCAGCATAGTGTGCTCTACTATTAACAGGCTTCCCTTTTGTAATGCTGCTCATTGACAAAAAGCTGCTAAAATGTCCCTAAACTTGCAAGAAAAGAAAAACACCTGCCTTTTTCCCCATTTATGACCTCCTCCCTTCCTTTTTTTAGAGTATTTAAATTGCTCAAAGGGGCATAACAATTGGACATAAGTCAGTGATATTTTATTTGTTGTTATATGTTTTGGCTTAGCAATAAATGTTTTAGATACTTTCACCCTTTTTTTCATTCTATCTTATTTCTCTCTCTTCCCAATGGAATTTTTGGATTTTGCAGATATGGGTTTATGGGAATAGCTTTGAGTCATTTCTTGTGGCAGTGGTTGTTCCTGATGACATAGCTCTTGAGAAATGGGCAAGCACTTGTGGCATAGCTGGAGATTTTAAATCCCTTTGCAAGAATCCAAAGGCAAATAAATACATTCTTGATGAGCTCAACAACATAGGACGGCATAATAATGTAAGAAATTTTTATTTAGATGATCCAATCCTTGTTCGTTAGAGCATTTCCACAATTAAATAAAATTTTCATTCATTGACGTTGAAGGAAGAGATATTAATTATCATACAAATGATTCAACTACCCTTTATTTTGTATTTTGTACAATCGAGCATAAAAACTATGATTGTTGGAAGACAAATAGACTGATTAATAGATGTACAATCATAACAACTGCCCCTCAAACTTGAAATCTATGGCAAAGTTGGAGATGGGATATCTTATAGACCAAGAACTATGATAATTTTCTTTTTTCTGGGTAGATCAGCAGAAAAACAGTCCGCTATCCATAGTAGGAATGGAATCATGACATCATGTTGTGACTCTCATCACCCTGACCACTATGCCTTGAGTCCATTCCTAGAACTTATGATAATTGATAATCATGGGCTTACTAAAGAGGGATCGGTAACATTGCTAGGAAGTAAAATATGTGCTAGTGATTCAGCTTTAGAGGAAATATTTTTAACAAATAAATAATCAGGCTCAATATGCTTTCTCTCAGCATGAGGCAGTAGAATATGTGCCAGTGATACAGCTTTAGCGGAAATATCTTTAACAAATAAATAACCAGCCTCAATATGCTTTCTCCCAGCATAAGTGCTTGGACGAAAATGGCCTCAATGATACCTGAGGTGTCTCAATAAGTGGAGGAACTTACTTTTCTGCTTATGTTCTCAATCCATTGTCTTTATCATCATTATCTTCTTCGTCATTTCAGAACTGAATGAATTATCTTCTCTTGATTTGTATTTGCAGCTCAGAGGTTTCGAAATATTAAAAGCAGTTCATCTTGACCCGAATCCTTTTGACATAGGGAGGGATTTGATAACCCCCACTTTCAAACTGAAGAGACCCCAGCTTCTTAAATTCTACAAGGTGCATACATGTATCAGACGATTAGCTTTGTTTCCATATTCCTAAACCACTACACTTCAATAAGTGTACAAGACAAATCATGAAAATAAAACTTGCACATTTGTTTTTTCAATTTATTTTATTTTACTAAGAAAAAACTTATTTATTCATTTTTCTTTGAAACATTTTTCTTAATTTCTTTGTCTTGGTATATTGCAGGATTTCATTGATGAACTATACAGAAGAGCGAAAGGGGCCAAAGCATGAAGAGGCTGAATTCACAGTCAATTAAGGTGTACGGGTTCAGTAAGCATACAATTGGTTTTGAGAGGCAGATATAATTAATTTTACCTATAGTTATATGTTGATATCAAATGCATGGATCTGTCATCAATGGAGAGGTTTCCCCTTTTAAGCTTTAGTTTGAAATTGAAATCCAGTACCCAAGTACCTGATGTAAAAAAGTATGAAATAATTTTGGTGAAAATAAACATTTTCTTTTGCAAGTACATATGAAAACACTCCTTTATCACTCTGGGCAATTCTTTTACTAATTCATTCTTGCTCAGCTCAAAATAAACCAGAATAATGGGTGTTGATTTTCACAGAGATTCAACAAAAGCCAGAGATATACTGGCTCAGTTATCAATATTCAAATGGGTTTATTGTGATTGTTTCAGTGATTTTTGAGGACCAGGTGAGCAATTCTCAAATCGTGAGCAGGTGGCTTTTTTTTGTCAGTCACTCAAGATTATACAGTTAACGGTCCAGATCTCTAAACTCTCCCATACACTAGAGATCTGGAAAAGCACATCGGCTTCAAGATAATCCAAACCATCGATTAAAACCATGATTTCCTTTGTGACAATCCATACAATGCATGCATTCATTTGTGAACTTTGCCATCTCATATAGCAAAATTTACATTTCTTTTGCATGAATAAGTTCTAATACAAAAGAGTTCTCTCACCTTATTTTCTGACAAAGAATATTTTACAAAAAAAAAGAAGATACAAATTGATCCTATATTTGTCTATATCTATTCTTTTCTTTTCCCTATTTCCCTTGACTATAATTGTCAAAAAACCTTGTAGTTGTTTACAGTCTTTTTTTCTTTTCTTTTTTTTCCTGTTTTCATTTACTCCACATGTGAACTCAATTGCATAGATTCTATTTCCACCACCTTATTGGGCCTCTATTTGATGAGGATAGCATTGAGAGAATGAAGATACAAGCTGCAGATGCCAAAATTGCCCCTGCAAAACAGGCCATATCAAGGCCACTAAGGAGCTGCACCTTCTTGCCCTTTTCAAGCACCCCAACCTGCAAAACCATCACAACTGCTTGCCCTATCTTTGTCTTTGCATCCCCTACTGACCCCATTTCCATCCATGCTGGTCTACCCTGAAATAGTCCCATTGAAAACTCTCGATATTATTATTGATGTTGTTAGAGAGAGAGAGATTTGATAATATGACTATGTCGGTATGGGTCCCTCCGGACCCTGATCCAGATCCGCTTGTACTCAACCCAAAAATTTAAAAATATATTTAAATATTTTGTTGAACAAATATATGTATTGCTTAAACATTATAACTAAAAAATATATAATTATATTTACTTAAATATTATTTAAATAATAATATTCGAGTCGGGCCTGTAAGGGCCGAAACGCATGGCCCAATTTTTGGACCCATGCCCAGACCCGGGTCCATTGCCATCCCTACTAAAAATATAGGAAGAGTACTACTAACCTTGAGATGGAAGCGACCAAAGAGATTGGAGCTTGACATGGATGATTCATTTTCTGTGTTGATGTCCTTCGATCTTATAAAAAGCTCGTGTAACGCCATTCCAAATATGAGCATTGCAGTTCCAACAAAAAACATGTCTGCATGAAAAATAATGTTAGAGAGAGAGAGAGAGAGAGAGATTACTTAAAGGCGGGTATGGAGAGAGAGATGGTAATGGATTCAGACCTATGGCTTCCATTAGCAGGAGGACCATCTGGCCTTCATCCGACCTTCGCCACATGACAACTTTAAAATACTCCACAAACGATTCCAATACGAGGAAGACACCCTGCATGCATATTCACATTATTTCTTTCATGAGAGCAAATTCCATTTTTTTATTCCATAATTATAATTATTCACTTACCCAAATGGCAATAAATTAGAAATAATATAATCGCAGTACCGAGTTTGAGAGAGAGAGAAGTTGTGAAGCGTAGAAATTACCTCAAGAAAGCAAAGAATGGAACCAAGGAGTGATCCAGCGACGCCAATTAGTGTGAAAAACCGGCAATCGATAATGGCCTGCGCAAGTTGACGACCAGTTCTTTATTTGCTCACACGTGCCAACAAAGAGTCATTTATAAAAAAAATTTAAATTTTATTGACAGATATAAAATTAACAAATGGTCACCTGATCTATCAAGCATAAAGTCAGGAAAAATAAAAAAAATTCGAGTGGGTTAGTCTTTCCGGATAAATACTGCATATGTTTGGGCATTAAAGTGGGAAAAACTAAAAAAAAAACACAAGGCTAGTCCTTCAGCATAAATACTACATATCTTTTAACTTTTTTTTTGTTATACCGGTAAAATAAAAGGGTTGTAATTTTCCATAATATTTTGTAGGCTAGAGAGAGAGAGAAGTGCGATGTGGTCGAGACTTAGGAGAATGAGAGGAGATAAAGAAAAATGTGCTTCAGATTTGAGAGAGAGAGAGAGAGAGAGAGAGAGAGAGAGAGAGAAAGAGAGGGATGGAGCATACCCTTTCGACAAATCTCTGTGCTCTGAATCTCGAAGCTTTTCCATTCAAATTCCTCATAACCTTCACCAAACGACCCGCAAACTCTTCCACAATCGGCTTCAGATCAACACTCTTCTCTGCCTGCCTCTCCTCCACTAATAAACTCTCCGTAGTCGAAGCCATCACAGGTTTTCTTTACCGCCCCCGCCGCCACCACAAAAGCTGTTACCGCAAGGCCCATGAAGGCCCTTCCTCACTCTCACTCTACAGTTCTTCGAAGATGATGAGGAAGAAGAGAGAGAAGAAGAGAGAGGTTCTTCGATCTGTAGTCCTTTCAAAGGGGAGTAAGCCCTAAAGGCCACCATTTCTCAATCTGAATCTTCTTTTTCCTTTCAAGAGAGAGCGAGTTTTTTTTTCTGAACCTTTAGCTTCTCTTTTGAACTTTGTTTAGAGCGAGAAAGCGAGTGTGCACTTTTATAGAGAGAGAAGATTCTTAGCATATTATTTTCCCACGTCGGAGGAAAGGGGTGGGTTTTGAATTTAAAGTCCAATGGAGGCGGGTTTGGAGGTCGAGGGGCTTTGCCCTTTCTTTTTATTTTTATTTTTTTATTGGGAATATTGAAGAGTTCGTGGGTACGGCGCAGCTGAGGACCGAACACGTGTCAGTCTTACATCACGTGGCTTTTGCTGGAAGGGAGTAGTGGGAAAGGGAATACCATATTTACCGCCATGGCTCTCGCACGTCGACCCCGGAGCTACCGTCCATTTAAGAGAGAGAGAGAGAGAGAGAGTGTGTGTGTTTTTTTTGGCGTGTAGTGAGAGAATGGAATGGTTTCTCGGAGTGGCAGAAATTAGAAGCACGAGTTTCGTGTCTTCTTTCGCGTCAACGATACACAATGTGGCCCGAGGGCTAGGACATCGCAGGTCGGCTTCGGTGGACTTCAGCCCATTAAATCATATTTAGCACGGCGGCTGGGCCATGGTGAGGCCTCTTCAACCGACATGGGCCGGGCTAGACCATTCCCTGTGGGGACCATGACTGGGTGACCGGGTTTAAGTGACCCCTATTTTGTAAATTCTTTTAGGGACCCGGTTTCTATGCCGCCTAGCGTAGAAAAGCCGGCCTATTAATAAATCTATTTTTGAGATGGATTTTTGGACTTAATTTTTAATGACATAATCTCTAACTTATGAATATGAAAAATAAGCAATTTTTAAAAATTATAAATAATAATTCTCGTAAGAAAACATTTCGACTGTTAGTTTTCATTATTTTTTTAGAAGGAACACCTACCTACTCACGGGCAAATTTTCTATGCTTCCATAAAACTTATATACTTCCCCTTATCCAACCGTCCATTCTGAATGGAGGGGTTTAGATTGCCCCAATCACAATGTCAGGTCTCCAAACTATTTTATTTTTTATTTTTTTTCTATAAACTATTTTGACACTAAATTTTGGACGTCCAAGCCTCTATTAAACTCGCACCAGCGAAAACCCACTAGAATAAATTGACCAAATACCCTTGAAAGCTTCAATGGGTATTTTGGTTATTATATGTTATCGAAAAAATATTTTTTATAAGTGTCTCCCAATGAGAAGATGACACATACCAAATTTCATATTCATAAAATTTATATTAAAAAAACTAAAAATAAAATACTTTGAGACGTCCGATCTAAGATCAAACGGTAAGTGGCTCTCTTGATCAAAATCGGACGGCTTGATAAAAGGGCAAGCATAGATCTTCTATGCTGTAGGGGAAGTATAGAAGCCTTTCCACCTACTTACATCCTTCTTTAAGATGGGTGTTGTAGACTTTTCGGACCGCATATGTCACGCTGTCCAGCCTGCATGAAACAATTTTACTTTTTTTTAGCATTTTTTATTTGAAAAAATTCGCATGTGTATTTTAAAATAGAGAAAAGTTTATGTAGAGTCAAAGCACAAAATAATCAAATTAGAGCCTACCTCAAAATTTTCATAAAAAGAGATTATTTGATGTTCAAATGTCCTCAAATTGATCATCTCGACAACAAGATGCATGGACATGAAAAAAGAAAGGATTTCAAGTTTTGGAAATAGTGTATTTTGTAATGCATTTTTGGGCCCTCTATTGAAGTTTTCATAGATATGTCGATTTATGCTATTTTTGAAGCTTTAAACTTTATAAATAAATTCGAAAATATATTTTAAGGTTATCGAAAAGTTTTCCAATATTGAATCCACATTTCTCGATACTATTTGAAGGTAGGCTCTAATTTGATTGTTTAGAGCCTAGGCTCTATACAAACCGCACCCTTTAAAATAGGGAAAAGTTTATATAAGGTTGCAACCTTAAAAAGTAGAATCACATATGCACCTCAAAAATGTATCGGAAATGTTATTTTAATGTTGAAAAAACCCTATAATCGATCATCTTCACATTGAGAAGTATGAATATAAAGAAAAAACAGTTTTTGAGTCTCGGAAATAGTGCATCTTGCAATACATTATCTAGACCGTCCATTTTCAAGATTTTCATATATTTATAGATCTACTATATTTTAACCATTTTTGGAATTTAAAATTTTCTAATTAGGTATGAAAATAGATTTTAAGATAATATTAATAATTTTTTATAATAAAATTACATGTTATCATAAAATTTTAAGGTGCGCCTTAATTGGATTGATTAAGGCTGCAACCTTATAGAAACCGCGCCCTTGAAAATAACATTATAGTTTTCTAAACTATATTTTGTATAAAGAGAAAGATGTGGGTTTTTAGTCTTACATTAAAGATGAGAGTGTAGATTGAGTGGTATTTATGTGTGGTCATTCTCATGTCTTATACTCTTAGAACAACATAGACAATGCTTATAAAAAAAAAACGACGGAGATAATGATGGTGCATGTGCGGAGCACACGAAGCATGCGATGAGCATGCACGCACGTGAGACACCCCTCACTTGAGCACATGTACAGGTCGGGCTCATGGTTCGATAGCTTTTTGTGAGCATGACTCTTATCATGTAGGACATCGAACCATCATTAGAGCATAGCTCTTTCCATGTGGAGCATCCAAAGTCACTAGATAATAGCTTTTTTCGTATGGGATATTCAACTGTTACTAGAGCATGTTCTTTTCGTGTGGGACATCCAACGGTCACTAACTGTTGAAAAAAATGATACTTGTAACAATAGCCATTGAGTTAAGGGCGTACATATAACTTGTGAATATTAGTGGTGCATGTAATTACTCTTACAATAAATGGGCAGTCTCTAGAAGCTCTATAAAGTGGAGTCATTTTTTCCCATTTGCAAATTACACTCTCTAAATATACCATTCTTTGCGAAATTCTAGAGAGCATAACATAATGCTCATCTCTATCTCTATACAACACAAGACTCTAGTGTCTACTATGGACTTCAAGCTCGGATGCATAAAGCTTTACATCATAAAAAGAGACCCTTTTGTTTTTCGGTATCTTGAAGACGAGTTGCCCTTCTTATGTACACCTATTACAGTAGCGAAAAGAGGCAAATATCGTCCGAGATATGACTCATGCAATCCCGAAATCAAGAAGGACCCAAGCTTCAATTTTGTTAACCCCTTTTCACCCAACTGAATTTCCAACATATATTCAAGGGTGCGAGAAGAACATCCCAAATGGTCTTTTATTAGCGGACTTTTAAGAAGTGTTTATGAGAGAAAGTCCCATATGCTCTTTTGTTAACCAACTTTCTAAGAAGGGTGTTTGAGATTTTTTTCATGTACAATAACTTATGCAACTGTTATGTTTTGAATTTGACAGTATAATTGGCAGCATAAACAAATATGACATACTTATTATTTATTTAGGTTTGTATACAATGAGACCATATACTTTTGATACAAGGTGCTCATAATTTCTTACGACCATTTGATGTGAAATTTGATAGCTTGGATATGTCATGAATTTCGAAAAAATTTCTTTTGAAGTTTGAGCATGGTCAATGTAATACTTACAACCACTCAATTTCACATCTGGGGGTCTAGATTATTGTGACCACCTTGCATCAAAGATAAAATTATCTCATTCTCATCCAATACTTTCTTTATTTATAAATGTGTTATGAGAATGTAGATTACTTTTATTATGGTCGTAGCCATTGGAATGAGCAACATAAATATGTGGTTTATGCAGTGTTCAATTGCACGAACTAGCCATGAAAACCAGCTATAGGCTGGGTCCAGGTAACCCCTTACCGATTCGGGTAAAACAGCCGGACTTGCTAGGCAAAAAATATGTTAAAATTTTTAAAAATCCAAAATATAGGAAATATATGTTTAAAATAAAATTAAATAAAAAAATCTAAATGGGTTAAAAAAAAAAAAAAAACAATCTAGATTTTAAAAAATCAATTTGTGATCAAGCATGTTTTTTAAACAATTTTTTTAAAAAAGAAAATTTAAAGAAAAATATTTATGGCCAAAATATTTTTCAATATTTTCCAAAATAATAGAATACATAAAAAAAATATGTTACAAATAGATTTTTTTTTATAATATTTTTTTTTATGATATATTTTTACAAATTTTCGAGTTGGACATCTAACTCCGCCTACTCGCTGGCGAGCCCGAGTTAAGCGAGCCGATTAGTTGAACACCGGTTTTATTATATTGGTAATTTTTCTATTCGATAATGGTATGCCGTTACTGTTATTTGATATTCTTTTAATACTTTGACGTTGTTTTCTCCTGCATTGTCGCTATAGGTGGCAACGGGTTAATGTAGCCTAGCTTGGTCTGGTCAGCTCGGCCCTAAAATATAGGGGTCTGATCCACAAAATGTGACCAAAGGGTTCGATGGGTGGCAGGCCACGACGGCAATAGGGCTGATCCTGGGCCCGAGGGCTGAGCTTGGGCCAGGGCCAAGCTGGTCAAGCTAGCCTGACCTTTTTGTTCTTTATATTTTACTTCTGTTTTCTCATTTCTTCCATTTGGCCTAGTCCGGTCAGGCCTTGCTAGGGCCAAGACCTCTTTGGCTCTGTTAGTGCTAGGCAGGGCCCGGGCTTAAGGTTGGCCCTACCCAAGCCCTACTTGTTGCAAGCCATTTGTCATCAACCCCTTCCGGTCTACTGTTATGCACAACATGTGTATATGATAAGGGAGGGGCTTCATTTTCTTTCAAGAAAACATACAAAAATCATTTACTTAAAATGATTAGGGAAATCCCCATGCGTGAACCAATCATGCAAGAGAAAGGGTGAGGTTTATATAAGGTGTCAATTTTATACTATTAAAGTAAGGTGCACCTCAAAATTATGTCGAAAATGTAATTTTGGTGTTACAAAGACTTGTGATGATATGAAAATCCATTGTTTCTCCAAATTATGAAATTTATAGTTTCAAAAAATAGTGAAAATATTTGAAAATCTTAAAAATGGACGGTCTAGATAATGTATTGAAAATAAACTATTTTTAAGACTAGAAATCCTTTTTGTTTCATTTCTATGAATCTCGATGTCAAGATGATCGATTTGAGAGTTTTCCGGCGTAAGCACAACCTTCTCTAATGGAT